GCCAAGGGTGGTGAAAAAGAAAAGGGGTGTAGGAAAAAAAAAAAAAAAAAAAAAGGCTGGGGGAACGAGTGCTGCTGTTATATTAAGGGTCATAAAACCTGTCCATGTTTTACCTGCTAGCAAATTTAGGATCTATTTATATAAGAACTTCTAAGGGGAGATGCTTAGAAACCTGGTAAGCGATACTTATTGCCCACATGGGTTTCTTGTTTGGGCAGGTTATCCTATGCGGAAAGCCAGGTATCAGTGGGTACGCTGCAATCCTGACAGTAATTCTGCAAACTGCATTGAAGAAAAGGGACCACTTTTCGACCTATCTACAGATGAATCTAACAGGATCCTCCCTCCGAAGGTTGACCCTTTTCTGTAAGTAGACTTTTCTCTGATTATAGTGACTGTAATTTCTTTCTTTCTTTCTTTGAGACAGCCTCTTGCTATGTAGTTCAGGGTGGCCATGAACTCACTATGTAGTCCAGGTTAACCTCAAACTCTTAGCAATCCTCCTGCCTCAGCCTTTCAGGTGCTGTGTGCCATCACACCTGGCAATGTGACCAATTCCTCAGCCTCTGTTGAAATCTTGGTATGGAAGTGGGAAGGCCATCCAGAGTGTTTCCTTCAAGCTCCTGCTTTGGTAGTTTGGTTTTTACTATGCAGTTAAAGCTGTAGCATGTATGCATGGCAAGTACCATGAGGTGTGCGAGTGAACATGATTTGTCCCTGATTTTGCAAGTTTTTATTGTGGGTGGCAGAGACAGGCATTAAGAACTTTTCTCTAACAAGTATTGGAAAGTGATTAAAGATTGTTTTATTTATGTAAGGTGTATTATATATTAAAATCATTTTATTGTGTAAGCAGTATATTACATATTAAAATCCAGTAAGAGTCCATCAAGTGAGTGAATAAACACATGTGGCATATCAACACGATGGAGTATGTGACCATAGAGAGAATGAAATACTGGTACACGCTACGGTGTAGACGAACCTTGACGACATTAAGCAGAGGGAAAGAAGGAGGGTACACAAAATCACATATTATATGATCATTGAGATGAAAGGCCCAGAATAGGCGAGTCCCTAGAGGTAGAAAGTAGATTAGTGGTTTCATGGGGCTAGGAAGAGGGAGGGATGAGTGGTTGCTGCAGCATTTTTGGGGGGAGGTGGCCAAGTGTTCTGGAATCAGTGGTGATTTAAAAATCACACAGAGAATGCCTGTATTACTGAAAACTCTAATGGCTTATGGCTTACTTTTATGGAGAAAATGACCCACAGGCTGTGACACTGACCTTTGTCTCTTGACATTTTGTGCCCCTGATTGGTTGAGGATGGTTGGCATCCTTGCTCTGGTCTTCGGTGTCCCCTGAACTCTAACCAGCACATTCAAGTCACATGCAGTAACCTTATCCCTCAGCATCTTCAGCTCCTCAGTGCAGATGGGGGGGGTGGTATTAATATGTTTGTTTTTTAGAAAACTGAATAGTGGGCCGGGGTTGTAGCTCAGCAGCACAGCGTACCTGGCAAGCGTGAGGCCCTGAGTTTGATTCCCGGTACAAAAAACAAAATAAAACTGAATGGTAACGTGCTGGTAAATCTAACACTTAACTTGCCACAAAGTATGTCTAAGGAATGAGTTTTGTTGAAACATTGCAAATTATTTGAAATTTTATGGAAATTTCTACTTAATGAAAGAATGACATTTGTCTAGGCTAACTTAGTTGTTTGTCCTTTCTTTAGGGAGAAAATGAACAAAGGGATTTAAAAAAAGTAAATTCCAAATACTGGATTTTGTTGTTGTTGTTGTTTTTAAAAAAAGCTAGCACTGTTTATCTGAGTGTGCCCTAGGTAACGTGCACTTGGAAAGGCCAGTGAATTTGGTGTAAGAGGTATATGTGAACACTTGGGTTTGAGTTTGTTTTTTGTTTTAAAGCATTAAATAATTTGGAAGCTTTTAGCTCTTTCAATTTGAGCAACTGGGTAGCTGCATTTATTTCCTTATTCTAAAAATATCATCATTATATTTGTTATGAATCAAACTTTATACCTTTTTTTCCTACTTCAGGATGCCAAAATTCCCGAACTTGAATGATGTCTTCCCTCTTTCCGAGGACTATTTTGGATCTGGATCCGGCTCTGGCTCTGGCTCTGGCTCTGGCTCTGGATCAGGATCTGGGAGTGGCTCTGGAAAGGAATACCCCACTGAAATGGAATGGGACTACCAACCAATAGATGAAAATGATGTTTTCTATTACAACTTTAGGTCTCTCAAGAAGGATCTGCCCTCAGACAACCAGGCCTTGGGTCAAGATGGTACAGAAGAGAATTTTGTTATGTAAAAGTTAAGGTTTCCCCACCTTGACACCAGGCAATGTATTCAGTATATTTTGTGCACCATGGTTAAATGATTAGTCTTGGGAAAAGAGTTTTATAGAAAATTTAAAATATCTGAAAATAACTTTAATTTTTATTACCTCTTTTTTTCTTCATGTATTCTTAAAGGATTATATTTTAATGCTATTATCTATCCTATTGTTCTAGAAAATACCTGCATATTTTGGCATCATATTTGACCAACATCATTGAGAAATTAGCTACACTCCCATGTCTGTAAAACTGCTTTAAAGAAGAAAATTATAAGGGGCCAGGGATTTGCTCAGGGGTTCCGCTGCCTGCCTCACAAGGGCAAGGACCTGAGTTCTATCCCTGGTACCAAAAAGAAAGAAAGAAGAAAATTATAATTTTAAAAAATTCAATTTGAGAAGCAAGCTGATTGGCAGTATTTCATACCTACATCTTTAGGAGCCTGACTCTGTGAATAACAGTAATACCCTTTTATTTATGACAAAAGATCAAATACAGTGAATTTACAGATTGGGTATTTGGCATGGTTTACAATGTGAAGGGGTCTTACTGTATTATTACCAATTGGATGAGTTGAGAGCTAGTTGACATTTTTACCAAGAAGCATGATTACTGTTAGAAATTTAAGACCCTGGTTAAAGGATAGTTGCGGTCTCCATATCTCATACTTTACTGCTTTACCCTGCTTTCTTGGATATCTATTTTCAAATGTTGCTCTATTAAAGCAGAAGTATAACCAAAGAAATATTGAGCTGTCTGGGAATTATTGTTACAAACTCAAGAAATAATTATTTCTCATTAGATGTTTCTCTAGAAGCCTTAACAAAACATTTATTTATTTATTTATTTATTTATTTTCCCATTACTGGGGATCGAACTCAGGACCTTGTACTTGCCAGGCATGTGTGGCACCGGGGAGCTACATCCCTTGTCCAAACAAATCGGCTTTGCATCATGGCTTCCCTCATAGTGAGGGCGCATGGTGGTTAGGTACTCAATTGGAGTCTTGATTATTTTTCCAGTTCCTAAGCATACAATTAAATGGACAGGCTTGGTGGTTAACACAACACCCACACCAATCTCTGGACCTGTGTAATAGGAGTGATTGCAATGGGGACGAACCGCTGGAAACTTCTGTCCCCCTCCTTATCTGCCAATAAATAAAAAACAATATTTTATCCTAGGAGAATTTTAAAGGTTAATAGCACTTTTAAAAACCTAAAGAACACAGTGATGCTGGTACCCAGTGTGTCTCTATCTTATTTACCAGTCTGGGCCTTGAAAACACCAGATTTCACCTGGAGGGTGACACTGGATGATCACAAGTTCAGCTGGGTTGTGGTTCTATCCACAGCGGCTGTGCCAGCAGTCATGCTTCTGCTAGAGTAGAGTTATGCAGCCTCGGGTAGATTTATTGTCTATACTTACCCCACTTTGCAAAGGAGAGGATTGTCTTAGTTACTTTCCTCATTGCGGAGGCACAATACCTGACACTCACAACTCTAAGGAAGTCAGGTTTATTTTGGCTCACAGTTTGTAGAGGTTTCAGTCCATAGCTGGCTGGCTCTGAGGCAGGGTGGCACGGCAGAGGAGAAACAGCTCATGGTGTGGCATTAGGAAGCAGAGGTCAAGGGAAGAGGGAGGGAGACTATCACAAGGACCGTAAACAGTTTCCACTGTCTTGGAACAAACAGTATACATTTACAGTCTCTCCCCAGGACTGGACTGTCTGGACAGCTCACTAAAATGTCACAGTGGTCCACTGTATCGATAGATCATGAGCCTCTATCCAGACCCCCATGTTCTCACCCCTGATGTGCTGTCTGTACCTTAGCCCACCTCTGACCACATGGAGGGTTCCTCATGACCGGCTGACAGAGCAGCAATAAATTCCAGCATGGCTCATACGTAGATCATTCTGGTACGTAGTAGGAGCGAGCTGAAAATGGTGACAGCTGCTACAGTGCCCATCACGAGTGTCCTGGAGGCCGAGAAAGAGAATCCTAGCAATAGGCAGGTGATGCTCCTGGTCATCTCTGTGTGGGAAGAAGAGCAGCCTGAGGCTGGGATAGATACAATTTTATGGACAGTGTCAATGTACTGGTGAGTAATCAGGAGCTTAAAACAGACTGGAAGATCAGGCTAACAGGAATAAAGGCATGGGTCTAGGCCAGTGAGAGAAGTCACAAAGTGGGACAGTCACTGTACCAAATGTTTATGCCCATTAGCAAGCATCCATCTCATCACAGAAGAGGAGTAAATAACCATGTTGGCAAAATGACTTGGGCAGATGCCAGCCCCTGCTATGCCCCCGAGGCAAGCACTGAGCTCATGACAGAGCTCATGTGGCAGAGGTGGAGGCTATGTATGGACTCTCACTGTCCGTGTAGTTACTGACATTGCCAGTTGTTCGGTATCCTAGCAACAGATTTCATTGGTAAGCCACTGATGGTGCGTCATCTTTTAAGGAGACTCGATTAGTCACTTTCCTGTCATTGGGACAAAATACTTGACATCCACAACTTAAGGAATAGAGGTTTATTTGACTGTCTTGGTTTCAGAAGGTTCAGTCCATGGTTGGCTGGCTCTAAGGCAGAAATGGTACAGTGCCCGGCAGGAAAAAGCCACTACAGGAAGCAGAGAGCTACAGAAAAAATGAGAGTGAGAGCTATAGGCATGCCCTGGTGACAGGCCTTCTCTAACCAGGCCCTCCCTGCCTCCTTGACCAGGACATTCAGCTATGAGTTCACCAGTGTCCCTATGATCCAATTACCTTCTTGAACCCCTGCCTCTGAACACGTGAGACATGGGGACATTTTAGACCTAGACTATGTATAATAGAGACCTTGGTGACAAGTTGATTATAATAAGCCCTGTCAACCCTGGAAACTCAATGGATTTGTTCTAAAAGACATATGTTCTGGGTATAAGTTTGTCATTCCTGCTCATGAGCTCTCCAGCAGCATTAATATCTAAAGTGTACAGTGTCTGATTCATCAACAGGATTTAGAACCCTGCCTCCTGCCATTACAGCAAGGATATGCAGCGGAGGGCACACCACCATGAGATCTACTAGTTCTGTCGCACACTGCTAGAGAAGTGCTATACAATGAGAGAGGACCTTGCCTTTCCTCCATTCCCCCCCCAGAATGTTTTGTTTTGGTAAAGCAAGTTTGTACTGTGGGCTCTTGCCCAATGTATCAAAATGGTTTGTGACTGAACTGTGTGACCTTTCAGGAATGTTCTGTTAAGCTCTGCCCCCTTTCAAGAAGGTTCTGTTAAGTTCCTCCCCCTCTCAGGAATGTTCTGTATCTCTGCCCTTTTACTTCCACTCCCAGCTTCAGTGAGCCTGCTCTCCTACCCTGTACATCCCTATATACAGTAGCTCTCACTTCTCACAGAGAGCTCAGACTCCTCTGAGCCTGCCAGGGCTCCTTGGTGTAATAAAGACTTTTTTCCCCACCTCTTCAACTGACCACCAGACTCTCTAGTCTTTGAAGAATGAAAGGTGCGACCCAGAGCTGCCACACTGAACTGTAAGGCTCAGCTGTGCCTCAGAGCTGTGGCACTCGGCTGCAACACTGAGCTGTAACACTTGGCTGTAGCACTGAGCTGCTCTGCTCTGCCACAACAACACCACATCACCTACGTGCCATTTACTTGACAGTGATGGGAGGCATGGCTGAAACTCCATTCTCCAGGGTGAATAACTTTTGTGTGGTGTTATGTCCTTAATAGGCAGAATACATGGATTGAGGGACCACAGAGGAGAGGACTCCCATCAAAACCTATTTGAGAATTGCTTCCCATCACATACGAGTCTTGACTTTTAACAATGGCACTTTATGGGCTGGGGATTTAGCTCAGGGGCACCATGCCTGCCTTGCAAGTGCAAGGTCCTGAGTTCGATCCCCAGTACCCCCCCCAAAAAAAAAGAAAAGAAAAAATGGCACTTAAGTTCTTAGTGCCAAGGGATGACAATCAAGAGGAGGAAGGGCCATGTTAGTGTGTGTGACTGACCTGACCGCCAAGGGGAAGCAGGGCTGCGGCTACACACTGGGGACAGCAAGGACTGTCTGTGTTGGACACTCATGTGATCTACTTAGGTTTCTCTTAGTAAGTAGTTTAGATTGTAAGTGTATACATGCACCATGGGCTCAGATCCCTGTGTTTGAAAGTCAGAGTCAGCCCTCCAACTAAGCCACAAAGATAGTGAGGGTGAGAGACAAACTGAGGAGGTAACAGTGGAGGAATTTGACAAGTACCGACTATAGTTTTGATAGGAGCCCCAGAGGCAGCCGCTTACACTTCATTCTGGTGACCTTTGGCTCGACAGTTTCCCCATAGAAAGAGCGCTCCAGTTCCTGAAGGGGCTGAAGTCACATGAAGCAAATGGATCTGAATGAAATGGGGGTGAGCTGGTATGTGATTGTTCTCCAACAGCGCCCCCTTCAGGACTGGAGGACTTATTCCTGCAGCTCTGGGAAGGCTTGCTGACACTTGTCGGTGCTTAGATGAGAAAGCCACCTCAGCCAAGGCCCTGTTGCCTTCTCTGGACCGCTCACGGACAGTGCCTCCTTTTCGTGGTGGAAATGCTGAAGGAAGATCTCAGTTTCTGAACACTCAGTGGGGCCATCTGAAGCCTTCATTAAACCGCAGCTCAATTTATTCCTGGGCAATTCTTCTCCCTTCCAGTCCTGTACAGGTATTGATCCCCAAGCCACTCCCTAATAAACGCTCCCCACGTCATTCTTCACCTCAGAGCCTGCTTCTCACAGGACCCAATTTATATTTTATTCTTAGTACCAACTATTGAAATAGACCTCGGGCTTTCCATTAATAAATCCGTTATTATTCAGGAACTTAGTCAGCTTTTATGCCCAGTAGATTATTATTGTCCGAGATCTAATTTTGCCTCCTGTAATTATTATAATATAGCAGAAAAAATAAGGCATGTTTTAGAAAATATACCTGTCGCTTTGTGTTCTCTAGTTAAGTGCTAGGCTTTAAACACTTGAAAGGGAGATAGGTGATCTAAATTGCAGATACAAGGGCTGGAGATTTAGCTCAGTGCTTCCAGCCCCTGCCTCACAAGTGCAAGAGCCTGAGTTCCGTCCCCAGTACCCCCCCCCATTGCATATCCAAGAAATGACACTTTCTTAAGAAAGAGCATAAGAAATACAAAGTACTTTGACCTTCTTGTGGTTATTATTGCTAGATTACATACATTTAAATATCTATTTTGGCTCATGGTTCTGGTCCAAGATTGAGGGGCTGCTTATAATGATGGGCTTCTTGCCAACAGTCCCACAGCAGGGTAGGTACCCCGCGGTAAGAGACGGGGAGAGTATAGGTGTGCATCCACCAGGCATTGCTATCTTTGGAGAGCTGATTAGGCTGGTAGAAAGATAATAAGCTTTCGAATTGTAAAGTCCTGGTTTAAGCGCAAGTTTCGCTCTGGGTAGGATCCTAACTTTAGTCAGGTGACTTAAGTTAGCTAAGCTCATTAAGGGATAGCAGTGTGGTGAAGGAGTTAATCTGGGTGCAAACCTCCATGACTTGCCAACTAGAGAAACTCAGGTAAGTTACTTACCTTCTCTGTCTGTTTCCTCCTCATTAAAGGAGTACAGTGATCATCATACTTCGTAGTTTTGTTGAGATGATTCAATAAATTAATATATGTAAAGTACTGGGGCAATGCCATTGGATGAGTGGGAAAAAAGAACAGGAGTTACTATCAA